CTTACAGCATCACCCTGTTGTATCATTCTGAGAAAAAACAGTTATTGCGTAAAAATTTACTCTTTGTGACCGTCAGAAGGGAACGTGGTCGTTATGAAGGTAAACTTGACACAACAGATGATGTGTAAAAATTTACACTTTTGCCTGTGTAGTTATTTTGCCCCAGGAAAAATGTGAAATTTCTTACTCCAAAAAATGTTAAAAATTTACTCCCTTTAAAGAGTATTAATTTGTTTACCAATTTTGTTGATTAATTTGTGCCCCTCACTTTTGGTTAAAGTGTTGACGCACATGATGTGCTAGATTTTAGCCACACATTGCACGAAATGTTTGGAAGCCTTTAATTTTACTTTTTACGAAGAATAATTTTTACTTTCAATCTGCTTCAATGAAAATGACATGAAAAATAAAAGTTTTAACTTGAATTGAAGGAGTCTTTTTTTATTTCCTGGAATTCTACACAGTTTGCCTTATTTTGTGTTGATGAATGGGGTTTTGCCGCAATACAAATGGTAGGTCTAGCTTAATATAATCTTAAGATTTATCATATTGCTCATTGAGACTGCCACTGGTTTGTCCACGGGAACCTCTTACTCTCAGTTATGTTCTGTCGTCAGCATGCCTCCGTTGGGTCCCAATAGTCCTACATTCTGGTTAGTGTTTCGTCCTGCATGTGTTATACTGCATATTGTGCAGTGGCACGCCGGCGGGTGCAAGTTGCCCCCTGGGGACACGTCACTTGTTATTCTTTATTTCGGATGCTATTCGTATTTTAGAAACAGTATACCGCCCCCTAGCTCACTTTGGACGCCAGTCTCACTACAATGGGGGTCTGGCGTTTTGTAGAGGTCATCGAATTCACCTGGGCTGAATAAGTTCAGTCTTATCATGCTTATAATTCCTATGAGCAATTGAGGCTCCCCTTGGACAGGCCAGCTTTCCAAATTGGGCCATACCTTGAAACCAAATTAAGCTATTTTGCACTTATCATTTTCAGGATTATTTCTAAACATGACGTGTATCGGGAAGTGTGCAAACCTGCATTTTTCTAAAAATGAGTGACAAATACAGGCGTGGCGTATAGAACTTTTTTCTATTAGACTCGCGAGCAAATAACACTGACTTCGAAGGCAAAATTACGTTTTTTTTGCAGATACGTGATAACAAGAGCGCTTATACCCCAGATGTGGTTGGCCAACGTGCTTACTGTATTATCCTACACGTTTGAACAGACAACAACCCTGCAGATGATGCCTGGTCCGGTAGTTCAATCAGCGCCCTCACGACGAGTTTATCAACGCGTCTGTCAATTTTTTATGATGATGTTTGATCCACACTGACTCAGCCATCTTTGGGACAAGGTGGTTTTAGAGGGGTTCCTGGTTAAGTGCTGGGCTGGGTGCCTGCGGTTCTGGCAGGTGCTATCAATCTTGAGCAGAAGCACCTCCTCTTCGGTTGAAAAGAGCCAGATAGTTCGGCGCACAGAAATCTTCCTTTTCTGATCGCCAAATAATAACGACCACCAAATCATTTTAGTCTTTTTATTATATGTGTCTTATCCAAGGGTATGTGAAAATCAATGGCTCAAACTTTTAGTTCGTCGTTTTATTCGTAAATACACGTAGAAGCTTCATTTAAGTGGAGATTATAATTCGATTTGCGTCGAGTTTTCCTGTTCGATGTATATGCCCGTGGCCGTCTTCATTTATCGTATGCAAATTCGATCTTTGTTTTTCACAAACGACGATCGCCTTTTACCCCTTGATAATTTTGGCAAATCGATGTAAGGGAACATGCATTGTTTTCCGCTACGCCTGATCCTGTCTCACTTTGATCAACCAAGCTTTGAGCGTGGTCTGAAATTTGACACTTTCCAACTTTCCCGATTCAGATGCGACGTCACTCTCATTTAATCGTCTGCCGGAGACTGTCAAAGTATTGCATTGGTTCGTTAGTTTAAAAAAGCCTCGAGTTTCTAATTGAGCTTTAAATTGTCTCGTCAACTGAAAGCAAGACTCTGGAAACAATGCTACAATTTGCGAATTATCGGATTGACTCCTATATATTATCTTGAGTAATATTTTTGACCACGTTGAGTTTCTTTCTCGCCCAGGTTTAAAACGATTCTCCACAGCATATTTGGACGAAAATGTCTTTTCGTCCTTTTGTTGTCTATTTCAAAAGGAATTGAACGTAACGATGTTTGACTTTCGAGTAGATCAATTCGCCAATAATCGTGGCTTCAAGGCATTGTATTTTTAACTATTAGAAAAATTATTTAAGACGTTTGGATGTAAGACCGAGATAACGGTGATTTGGAGGAAACGAAGTGTAACAAGAAGCACACAGATTGGACAGAATTCCAGATTGGAGAGAAAAGCAATAGCGTCCGGGCTACAGACGTCACTAATAACGGGGAGAGAAAAGTGTTTTTGCAAAACTCTGCATATCAACCACCGAAATGTTTTCAATCCATTATCCTTTGTGAGGGCAATGCCGCCATTTCTGAACACGTGAACGGCGACTTTGGGTGATCTTACTTTCCTGTCACTGGAGCCACCCAGTGTTTTCGAAGTGTCAATTTTTGGCTGGGTTTTCCGCTTGGTGCGTCTAGGAATCAGTTGCTTGCTGTTTGGAACGAAGCCATATAGTGGACAACCTCACCTGGCAATGCTGTCTCCAGGGACCGTTAGACATTTGCCTGGCTAAGCTTCCTTCTACAGAAAACTCACAGGGTTGAGATTTTGCTTTGGAGACGGATGATACAACATAAGACCAGAGGCAAATGGTGGGGTAGCATGGCTCGAGCTCCATAGAAAAAACAAAACGGTTGCCAACCCGTTTTGCGCAAGCACGCTTTTGGGATGATAGCGTCAGTTGCCTTTGCACGTTATATGACAGTATTAATGAGAACACAAAGCTGTCAACTTAACGTTCTTGAGTTACCGTTACACACATCTATAATCAAAACGTGTTACACGTAGTAGGATCGTAAAAACGTCGGTGCTATTTCTGAGGACCAGCTTGTTTTGTGTTGTATTTTCAAGCATAGAATATATATTATTTTCACAGTAGTCAAGCTGAAGTCTTGTCAGTCTTTGAGCTCAGATTTGCAAAAGCTTGAGAATAAGCGTCTAACGACCCTTCTTAGCTGTTCAATTGCCTTTATTTACGGAGGACTATGCACAGAAACATTACAAAGTCTCAACTCCACCTGAGAGGGCGCTGTGACTTAAAGAGCATACACAATCTGAGCTCCGCAAAGCATCATTTTCTTCGACTTTAAAAGCTCTTAACTAACGTTCAACCCTTAGCTGCTGTAACCAATCATCGTTTACCACTTGTGACACTCTACACCGGAGACACATCAAAATCTCAGAAATGGGTGCAAGCCATGGCGGTAGAAAAAAGCATGGTACAAGAAAGAAACCAGCAGCAAAATCTTCGTCTAAAGTCAACAACAAGGGTGAGACTGTTACCCAGACATCACCAATAAGGGTAATGACCATTTAGGCTATGGTTACTGACCGAGTAGAATCAGCAGCTGATCTACAATTCTGCCTAAATCTCGTTTGAATCAAAAGCTTAACTACAGAGAGCAGCTGAACAAGCTGGAACGTAGATGAATATCTCTCGCAACTTACTGACAGATAATCTTTCCCTTCCAGATGCAAAGCTTGAAGGGCTCATCGAGGTGGTCATAAACTTCCTGGCGAGTCTGAGCACCTTGATGAGGTTGGATTGCTACCAATACAAAATTGCAGTTCTTCGCAAGCACTACCGGATGAACAATATTTCTGTGTTGATGACTCGACAAAAAAAGATCTAAAAAAAAGCATGGGCGGACAATTTTAACAAAGCTATTAAAGGCGGGGAAAATATGCTACTATGGGAAACGATGGCGTGGGAAACGACGGAGACCTCGCCGACTTCTACAAGACAAGAATGGCCAAACTCTTAACAGTATTCTGGACCTATGATTATTTTCCCTTTGCTTGCTCGCTCTTTATTCCTCACTAATTCTGACTTAATTACCTTCATACTTTCCCGTATTTGCATGTTAGCATATATCTGTTTTGTTTTCATGTATTTGTCCACGTGCAATAAACAAGTGATCTGTTGTTCGATATTCATTCAACTAGCTTGCAAGGAATACACGCTGACATTCACAAGTATACCTTGTCTGTTAAGTTCTTCATGTATTATTATGTATGTTGTTACCGTACATGTATTTATTATTCCAATCTTGTGATTAAATTTGCTCGCCTGTACACACTGATGAATATCACTTAAACTTTATATTGTTTTGATTTATTTATCAGCGTGCGTGTGATTGTTTATGTGTTCGCTATCCAGTTAGCTTGCTTGCAAGCCTTGAAGGTTTCTCTAACTCTGCATGTGATATGTTTGCACATTTGGCATTTTACATTATTTATATCATATCATTTTGTAACTATTACTCTTTCTTTGAAAACTGTAGTTTACCTTGCTCACAAGCGCATGTATATCACTTGTCATTGTTTTTATTCGTGTATGTCACCTCTTGCTAATCGTTCTTTGCTCACTCATGCATTTTGTTTACCAGTCGTCAACTTGATCAGGCTACTGGGATGGATTTTCACTTGTTGCTGCCAGCATATGATTCTACTTTATTGATACGAAATTGGCTACAATTTATTTGCTTATTTATTTTAATCCTTATTTATTATCTCTTAATGAATCTGGCATTTTACAATTATGCCGTTATTAAAAATCTTTGCAAGTATTTATTAATCTTTGCAAGTATTTACTTTGTAACCCCATTTTTTGTTTCAGTTGATTATATCTGAGCCCTTCAGCGTATCTTTTAGCACCTGCTGTTAACAAGCTAATGCTTTTTATTGATATTTTCCCTGTTTTTCACTTGCATAATTGTATCTACTTCCTTGTGTCTATGATGTAGTATAAATTGAATTTTGTATACGGCTGAATATAAGTAAATGTTGCAACAAATTACCTACCTCAACCAAATCCTAATATTGACTGCCAGACGTCCTTGGTCCATTTTTTTTAGCATTTCTGGTAGTTAAGACAAACACCCTTCAAGAACGCCCTAGGCAGTAAAGCCCGCAAGCCTGGAAAAACCTGTAGAAGAAACAGTGATTAGGAACAGCTTAAGGATAAGGACCAAATATGGACCGGTTTCAGGATTCAAACCTGGGGGAAAAGCGAGGAAAGAATAAACTTTCTTCTTAATGTTTGTTAAAAACGTAAAAGTGTTGTCGATTTTCAACATATTTGCTATTTCACGTACGCACAAAAGTCAGTGAATTTCTTTATTTTTTTTAGGTTTATTAGTGCCGTGCTGTTGTAAATTTGGCATTTATACGCAAAGTTTTCTAAATACATTGATTCACGCGCATATAAAAGAGTAAAGGATGAGACAAGGTTATGCATACATTTTAAAAAAGGGGCTGGGGAGGGCTTTGGCCATTCCACAACATTAAATATCTTTATTCCTCCCTGTTATGAGTAAAACTGTTGAAAATTATTTCAAAACTAATCGAATAATCATGTAGCTGAATCTGCAAGACACAAAAAGCGACCATATACTCCCTTTAGATACTGGTATGATATTGTGAAGCCTGCCTCCGGTACCATAACAAGAAAAAAATCAAATAGAAGCATGGCATCACTATTGACGTTTTACAAATACAATTCAAAAATAAAAACTCTCGTGCAGTTAGAAAAGTGTAGAAGTACACGATTGAACTACATGTAGCATCAACTGTGTTCGACTGAGTCACATCCGTCGAGCTTTTGATTTTTTCTCCCCGCGATACTAAGTGACAAATTCATGCAGGGTGCCCGTCTTGTGAATGAGCTGACCTATAAGATATTTGCATTTTTAGGTAGTAGCAAGTTCACTTCGTGGAAAGGCAAACGATCATGTAAGGGCAAACGCCTTTTTTAAGCTAATGCTCTGAAATTATATAGGTGCGAAATACCACCAGTAATACGAGTCTGACTGGTACAGTTTAATTAATAAAATGCAACTTAAGCAACTACTTTGAGTAACATACGGACTTCAATAATTAAAAAATATTACTCTTTTATGCCAGTTAGTTTTTTCGAATAGTAATTCCTGCAGAATAAATCTAGGAGACGGGGGGGGGATTTTACCATTTACCATGAAAATTAACATAATGCTGACATGGAATGTTAACAAACTCTGTTATTCGTTACTTAATGCTTTGTTGTGGCTTTCATGCTCCTGGTGAAAACTCCTTAAAGAAAATTAAGACGTCCGTTTGACTTTTTTTTCTCAGAGAAAAGCATGGTACGGGTTATGAGAAATTCCTAATCAAGCATGTGTCCTGTCTGGAGGCATATTCCACCTAAAAACAAATAAATGTAGAGCAATTGAATAAAGTAAGGACCATCGTCATATTGAGTGGAGACAAATTTACCAAAATACTGCATCCGAGTTCAAAACATTCAATATTTCTTGTGGAGCTCGGTCTTCGGACACCGAAGAATACCTGCAAACATTAATATCCTACAAATTTTGTGAGTTCACTCCGAGCGATGGAAGACATGGTAAGACCATGCTGTTAGCGTGGTGCCAATATCTGGAAGTAGTTGCTTTGCATGAACTTCTTTGAATATAGGCCAGAATTTAATATGAGGGGGATTTTATTGCAGGATCGAGATGAGTCGGGGAGCAACCCGTCCTAGTTACAGATGAAAACGGGTTCTTTGGGTTAATTTTTATGGAAGCTGGGCTTTGGGCATGCTGTTCCTTTCACTGTAAAGCAATTGCTTTGAAATAACTTCTGGGTCGATCTGCCCTTAAACGCATCTCTCCATTTCTTCTCCTAATTTATCCGTTAGGCCTTTTTATAAATATTTTCGATGTATATCATTGTTGGCCGGGTTCACTAAGACTCCATGTCGCCCCAACATCAACGCTCATGATAGCGCTATTTTGCCAGTCGCAATCAGTTCACTTACACGTAGTACATCAGAGTGCTAATAACATAATGGGCATCCCAGTGGTTGCCATGGAGAACAAACACCGAGGCTGGAGTGTAACCTGTGCAGTAAACCATAATAATTTTCACGGTTCCATACACTGAACCCGACTTCCCACTGGCAGCTGAGGGAGATGATTCACCGTTGTTACATGTCCAGTACGTTCTCACCGACGGTCCCTACTTATGACTTTGATTCGTGGATCTTCACAATAATGTATCTATGGCAATAAAGGAAGTGTCCAATAAAAAAAGATTTAAGACCTCTGAAACAATGGAAGTCAAAATATATAGGGCCTGCTTCCGTGACCTGAGAGTGACGTCGCACCTACCGTATTGTTTTCGGTCGGCAACAACAGGCTACCAGCCTCTCGACATGCACGTCCTCTGGCTTGTTCTCAGCGTGCAGACCTTTGTTAATTACGTTTTCCAGACACGAATCGTATGGCTGTGTGAAATCAGACATGCGATTTTGTTCAGACTAACACAACAGTTCATAACGTCAGTGGTGCATGAGGCACATCTGATAAACGCCCATTCGTCCGACAAACTCAAATTCACGCCATGCCCTATATACCGCGTTCATATATAAACCGCGTTGTGTACATCAGTGT